AAAAAGACCAGACTCCAGAGGTTTTTTGTTGTGATTGCCAGTAGTAACTACCGACAATTAAGCAGACAGAGTAGGCGCGTCTTCATCATCTCCAGATTGCCAAATAGCCCACTATATCTGATTTGGGAAATAATCCCAAAGTTACAAATTGCGTCTTCATCAGCTCGAGATTCAACCTCGTAACTTGAAACTCGACCTTGAGAATTAGCTCAAGATATTTTGCTCGGTGTTTGCGCATAGTGCAAGTTTCGGTCTGGTGAAGACGTACCGGACAAATAGCTGGGTATTTTGCCAAATAGTGGGATATTAATTTTGCAAACTATCTCAAGATATCTTGGGATGACAATCCCGACCAAATATCCCGCTAATTGCAACTCTGGGCTGATGAAGACGCAAATTAGCTGGATAGTTTACCATCAGGATAGTTCAAATAGCAAAAGATTTGGTAATCTCGAGCTAGTGATGACAGGCCTAATGTCATCAAAATTGATGATTTTTGGTTGCAGTGTAAATGTACCTATGGCTTCCAGATGTCACATGAAAATTAATTAATCTAATTTCCACCAGAATCTTATCATATGACGTTGGGTGAATCACATACCCCCAGCTGATCAGTCGTGGCTAATTGATTTGTTTGCTAAAAATAAAAGCACAGGAATAGCCCCTCCCCCAGAACAAACAAAGGCGATTCTCATTGATTTCTACATTTTATTGGAAAAAGGGCAAGATATTACAGCCCTTCTTATTAACAGTTGCAACTGATTTAAACTGAGCACAACTTGAAATCAATCACTATTCTGTAATAAAGAAATAGGATTTGCCATTAACTAGAGGACTTGTGATTAATACGAGTCAATAGCAGCTCTATACATTTAAGAGACATGGCGCTACATGAAGAGAAGAGGTTGTTGAAAGAAAAAGAAAAAGAAAGAAAGACAAGGGAAATCAAAACAAAATAAAACAAAACCAAAACGAAACAAAACAACATTTTTTAGCTAGATACAAACCATATGTACATTTGTATCAGTCAAGTACTACTTCCTAATTTCTACTGCACTTTTCCACTTAATAGTTTGGCTGCCATCCCAGGCTAATTAACTTATTAACTAATTGACATTCTCAGACAGATAGCGTCTGACACTCTACACTATTAGCTGTGGTCTGGATTAGATGAGCATTTTCTTTAATTAATAATGTCCTCAGTTTACAAGCAATGTACTTCAGTGCGGATATATTGTCAATGTTTTAATATTTCAAAATTGTTATATAGTTATATTTTTCTTTAATTACTGAATATTAATGGGCATTAGTGATATATTTAAGAGTATTAATGGATTTATTTTAATGTCAAATAACTACAAAAAAATATATATAAATGGTTACTATTATTTCAAATCTCATGTGATATCATTACTTTGTCAGATTTCATTGCATGTTCAATGAAACAGGACTTAAAACCAATGAGGGGATATGAGAATTGGGACTGACTAAATCAGAGATAGAGAGAGAGGAGGGAGAGAGAGAAAGAGAGAGAGGGAGAGAGGGGGGGGGGGGGGGTGGAGAGAGAGGGAAGAGGAAAGAGGGAAAGAGAGAGATAGGGGTATACACAGATACATACATGCATAAGATGAGAAAGAAAAAGAGACGAAGAGAATATACATTTCTTAACTTTTGTTTAAAAAAACAAACTATTTATCAATAATACATGTACATGTATCTCATTACAGCCTTTTTTCTTCTCTTTTTTCCCTCCATTTCATCCAATTAATTTGTTTAAAACTGTAATCAATGCACACCCTAAAACAAAAGCTACTGGATTCATCCATTGTATTCTAACACTTTTCCCTACATTAAAATTTATGCCTACATATTGGATCTGACTACAACATCTTATGCAGCTTTATTACCATGGTAACTGCACGCTTGCATTTGCTAAAGTAATCAAAGGTGTGACGAGAAAAGGCAATGTTGATGAGCTGAATACCGGAAATTAGATCTCAATACATGACGGCTACTGTTCACTTTGCACTTGCTGAATGATTCGCAAATGAATTTGATCATTCTTATTGTCATTAAGAGAAAGGAAACGGAAGTAATAGATGAGGATATGATGATGAGACAATTAAAATTGGGGGATTGATGATTAAGGCAATTTTATGGTGATGATGACCAGGAGCAGGAGGAAGAAGAGGAGCCAAGAAGGAGGAGGAGGAGGAGGAGAAGGATGAAGATAGTAATGATGAGGGCAGTGGTGATGATGATGATGATGATGGTGGTGGTGGTGATGATATTGATAATGATGATGATAATGATGATGATGATGATGATGATGATGATGATGAAGATGATGATGATGATGATGATGATGATGATGATGATGGTGGTGGTAGTGGTGATGATGATAATGATGATACTTAATGATGATGATGATGATGGTGGTGGTGGTGGTGGTGGTGATGATGATGATGATGATGATGATGATGATGATGATGATGATGATGATGATGATGATGATGAAAATGATGATTGTGGAAGTGACATTAACTCCCTTTTGGCTCTCACAGACTACATTCTTTTTGAAGGGTAACATTTTTCTTGAAATGATGACACTGTTATGGACAGCTATGGACAGCTTTAACCCCGCCTTGCGCGAGTAGGATCTGTTAATTACTGATGATGCTCACTCAGGCTAATAATAGACTGTCGAGCCTTATCAAAACTGTGTACTTCATTTGCAAGTGAATGGACTTTCGATGGATGGTCTACTATCAAAATTAAATTTGCAAGTAATTAATGCATGCAACAAATTTCAAGGACATTCGCAATAACATTAACAAAGGGTATTAACTCATATCACTTAACACACGGTTCATGCCATACTAGCTTTAATCACACAATAGCTATGTTTACATGGGACCATCAGAGTTTTAAACAGTAAGTTTGAAATGTCGAAGTCACAAGTACCTACTAACAACGAGGGTTCACTAGAAGGGACTCGATCAAACAACAACTCCTGAAGTTTTGTAACTACCAGTCATGCAAGCAATCATTGTAACTACGTAGCTGGGCAAACTTGATGTTAATTGTATCTGCACAGTGCATAGCGATGTAACTCCGCTCGTAGTTTATAACTATGATTAAAGTTAAAGTTTAAAAACCACTAGTGCGACTGCATAGCCCTTGACTACAACATGACCTAAAAGTTTGAAACCATGACCAACAGTTTAAAACGATGATTTCAAAGTTTAAAACCATAATTCAAATTTCAAACTATGACCAAAAAGGTTTAAAACCATGATTTAAAAGTTGAAAACCATGACAAAAAAGTTTAAAACCATGACCGTAAAGTTTAAAACAATGACCGAAAAGTTTAAAACCATGATTTAAAAAGTTTAAAAAGTTTAAAACCATGACCGAAAAGTTTAAAACCATGATTTAAAAAGTTTAAAACCATGATTAAAAAGTTTAAAACCATGACCTAAAAGTTTAAAACCATAACCTAAAGTTTAAAACCAGGACCGTAAATGTTAATACCATCTTTTAAAAGTTTAAAACTATGATTTAAAAGTTTCAAACCATGACCTAAACTGTGAGTTTACAGACTGCAGTGTGAACCTAGCTGTCTACCTCACACAAGGTCTAAATCGTCTCCTAAATCAGTTGTCATTCGACACTCACTATATGAGACTGATAGCTGCTATTGGCATTAAGTACTTAAATCCCAATTATCCCCATATGTCACTTATGATATGTATCACTTTCTGACTGAGGGATTCAATGGATTAATGATAATATGCCAGGATCCAATCACCTTGGTAACAGAGCCTATCCACGTGGTGTCGTTTATTGGTGAATTATTAACTACACTTTCAAGTTCAAAGGTCTAAATTCCTAAGATGTGAGTGTCTTGGATAGTAAATCACACAATATGTCTTTTTGTTTGATTATTAACAAGGAGTAGTTTATAGGTGTTTGGGTGTGGTTTAAAGGAAGTGAAACATATGGCTTGTCCTCATCAGCTCGAGTTTGCCAAATACCCCGCTATTTTAACTATCCCGATCGCATATTATCCAGCTAATGTGCGTCTTCATCAGCCCGAAGTTGCAATTAGTGGGATATTAGGTTGATAAAATATACCAAGAAATCTTTGACTCGATTCCATAATATCCCGCTATTTGGGAAATAGTGGGCTAATTTGCGCCAGTCCAAGCTAGTTTTTTGATGAGCATATCGGTCTTGAGAAGACGCAATTTTGAGCTTCGGGATAATATCAAGTCTGAAAATAGCAGGTTACTTAGCAAACTTGAGCTGATGAAAACAGGCCTACCTATATGGATTCATTTACCTATTAGTGGTTTCTTAGTTTGAAATATGATTTTTTTTTTAAAGGGCAAGAAATTATATTGAATAAAGGATGTGAAACTGAAAGTGTCTTGTGTATGTCACTCACAGAACTGGCTGATAATATACTGCTGTCTGCCCATATTTTATCTTTTAATTTCCTCTATTCGTGAAACTAATTGAGACAATAGGATTCATTCACGATCATAAAGTCTATTTCTATTTAGAACTATATTAATCAATCTTTACAGATCAATAAAGTTTTGAAAAGATACAAACATATAAATCTGAGAAGATATAAACTCTTAATTATCTATTAAGAATAAATGATATTGCCACAGGCATTTCATGAAAAGAGGTATGAGAACATTCTTCATATTTTATGGGCGATGGTGGGTGTAACTACTTAGTATAAGTAACAGTATTGATAATCAAAATGAGGGAATCCCCAAAGAAAAATAATTATCACATTTATTACAGATAAACCTGCACCTGTATATAAAGACCGCTCAAGGGAGAAAAGAAAAGTGGTATTTATAGGTAGGTGTTACGTACAGGTTCCTTTAGTACACGTTTTCAGGAGAAAACTTTTTCAAGGGAAATGAAAACATGGTCTTTATAGACAGGTGGTCACTAAAGTGGGTTTGACTGTACTTTACCTTTTCTAGAAGATAGTTGTTGATGTGTCCTCCAATGGGATCTCCTTTGAAGTCAAAGTTGATATCCATGTACTTGCCAAAGCGACTCGAGTTATCATTTCTGTTGGTCTTGGCATTCCCAAAGGCTTCGAGGAGTGCGTTGGACTGGATCAAGATATTCTTCACTCTATTACACAAAATTGATACCAGCAACATCAATAGTAAACAAAACAACAACAACAACAAAGATTATTGGTGATAATAACAGTAAGGATAATGATGATGATGACGACGACGACGATGATAATAATAATGCTCTACTACTACTACTACTACTACTACTACTACTACTACTACTACTACTACTACTACTACTACTACTCCTACTACTACTACTCCTACTACTACTACTACTACTCCTACTACTACTACTACTACTTCTACTACTACTACTACTACTACTACTACTCCTCCTCCTCCTCCTACTACTACTACTACTACTACTACTACTACTACTGCTACTACTACTACTACTACTTCTACTTCTTCTACTACTACTACTACTACTACTACTACTACTACTACTACTACTACTACTACTTCTACTACTACTAATAATAATAATGATTATAATAATGATTTTCATAATTAAAAAAAAGGAACATTATTATGATATATTCACATAATCCCTGATGATTTATTCCATGTAATGAAAATATTACAATGTTATGCAAACTTCTGCATGAAATTATCTCCATTGGCGCTGGAAATCATCCCTGACATTTGCCAACCATAGCACATATACATGACAGTTCCATGGTAGTAAAATCAAGGAAGAGAATAAAGGACCCACACGTGACTGAAACAACAACAACCTAAACCATAAACAAAAAAAGCCTTCAGATGCCATTGAGATTTGAGAGTTTCCACTGAAGACAGTTTCAGTTTCAATTTTTATTAATTTCCAATTGGAATGACCCTACATTAAAGTACATGTACATAGCCTTGGGATTTGGTTGCATTAATAAATGATAATGACAGTTTTGACACATATATCATAGTGCTCCTGTGGTTATTATGACATATTTTGATGATTCAAGGTACATCTAATGGTAGCTGTAAATTCAATCTCTAACGATAATACTTTTATGAGGTGTTACTCAGAAACAAAGTGCACCAACCATTTATATAGGCATAAAGTTAGAAAATCTGGGAAGCGAATAAATGTACATGTTCATGTGCTATTGTATTCTAACATAGTGTACGTACACGTTGTAGCTTAGTCCAGATTCTGTCTGTTTTTATTTATTTCTTATTCTTCAATCATCTTTGTCTTCCTCCCGTAATTACATGCATCCAACACAGAGCGCGGTGTCTTCAGTAATTAATCGTGCGATCCAAAAAAAATACACACCGCCAAAAAAAAGCGGGGGTAAGGATGAAAGGACTGTTTCCATTTTAATCTTGAGGGTGTGTTATTATCTAGCTGATTGAAAACAGTCCAGACAGTGGACTAGTCATAGCAATGGGGAGCATTCATGGGCCCCCACTGCATTGACCTAGTAAGGTAAAAAGTTTGAAAGGAGATGGTGCACATTGACCTACCTCTCTACTTCTTGCTGTTGACTAGCATTGGTGACTGCAGCGATGTATCTCATGATGATCTTAGAGGCTTCTGTCTTGCCTGATCCACTCTCACCTATGTAAAGAGATAAATAAATAGATGAATAAATAAATACATGAATAAACAAATAAACACAATTTTTTTAAAGGTACACTGTACATGTAGCAAACAAATATCAACATATTTTCTAGACATCTACTTCAATGTAGATTGCATTCTTTTTACATCAAATAATATACAATGAATTACAGATCACACTTTACAAGAAATTTGAAAACATTCAGTGGAAAGTATCTAGAAACAAATAGTTGATGTATCCTTTTATATGTGCACTTGATGGACATCTTCAGCGAAAGCTTTTACCCATGTAACACAAATTTTTTAATCTCTAATTTCATATTTTATGTACATTGAAGTTATAAGCAATGTGAGTATTGTGAACACCTTTATGCCTTTGTTTTCTGGATGATTTGCAGTTTGTTACAACCTTTTCTTTTCTGTGTGTCCTCATTGACCCCCTCCCCCTCCCCCTATCTCCTCTCCACTCCTCTATCACTGTCTTTCTCCTTGTTCCTTCACCCTCTCTTTCCTTCACCACCCTCTCTGCATGCAGTCCTCCATTTCTGAATCTCTCTAACATCACAGCACCATCCTCTTCCATTCCTGTCTCATTTCCTATAGCCTTGACCCTTCCTGGTCAAATTCATTTGCATACATTTTCAATCAGCGCTTGTGTCTTAATTGGGACTCGATTATGAAGGATTAATGTCTTTGACTTATAAACCAACTCACTATTGCACTGTGCACAACGGAAGCATTTTGTATCAATTTTGGATAATTGTATTTGATAGTTTCATGACACACCAGACTAAAATCACACCCCAAAGACTGCCATTTGACCAATGATCCAACATTTGCCCCTGTAATATTTTCTCCCAGCTTTCTTTTGGTAAAGATAGAAGATTTTGCTTGCAATACAGTTTAAATGTTGGTTTAAGTGAACCGGAAGGTGTAACGTTTGGTCCAGGGATGAAGTTAAGAATTCAATTAGTGTAGTTGGTTATTTTATTTTACCTGACTGCTAAGAAAGCATAAATGTAAGCAACCAAACGGCCGACGGCTTTAGGTCCTCTCCGAGGGACCTGGTAATGACGATTAATGCCTTACCAAAGGGCACTAGCGCATCGCCTTGGTTTCGAACCCGGGTCACCGGATTACGAGACCACTGCTCTACCAACTGTTTACAGTGACCTAAGTCATTCAACTCACCTAGAGCATTTATAACTCGAAAACATTTTACTAATTAATTTCAGTTTCATATCTGGATTGATCAAATAATACAATCTAGACAAATAGAATACTTTGCGAAAGTCTGAACTATATCAAAACTTATTCTTACCAGCTGTCCTAATTTACATCAATATATTTACCTGTAATAATCATTTTATGTGTGGTATGCTACATGTGCATGTATTATCTGCAAGTCATAGTGCAATGGTTCTGTTGACTTGACTTAGACTTACATGTACTACTAGTATAAGAAATTTGGAGAAATAAAGAATGAAAGATGTTTCATTTTTCAAAATTGTAAATCTACCTGTAGCATTCAACATCCCATGACAATATGATAGCATTTAATCCAGAGAATATCATTGTGCTGATTCACTGAAATATAATTACATTTGATTGTGTCCATTTGTGGTATGACATGCATTTAGTAGAAGGCCCAATAATACATATTAGACCTCGTAAAGCATGGTATTATATAGTGTAGAATGGTGTATTAAAGATTACTACTAAAATACATGATGCTGCAATCATCCAACTTGCAAATCAGCAACAGTAAATAAGCAACAATTAGGAGTGCTACAGTAGATTGTTTTTAATCAAATTCAAATGCTGCCCGGTCATGGCCATCTATATCCCTGCACATCAGCCGGATAATGGACCCTTTCTGGTTGATCTAATCAACCTTGTGTTATGCTATAATTTGACTTCCAGTATTATACTGCTTCATATAGTTTGCAACCACAAACCCTTGTCAGTTGTAGCAGGAAACGCAGGGTCTGACCACCTGTAGGACTGTAGACTACACCCAATACATAACCCTGTAGTTTAGCTTCTCCTGACACAGTCAGACCATTAGTAGGTACAATGTTAGGCTAGGCTAGGCTAGGCTCAAAGCTTTATACAATTTTGGTAAAGTTCTGTAAAGCCAGAAACTTTCACAGGAATTTAAGGTAATGCAAAGTTTTCAGAAATTTTGAAAATTGGATTGATAGTAATTTTCTTAAATTTGATATATTTGGATGCCCCTGTGGATGTATATATAAGCACTAGAAAATTTAGGCACTAGAAAATTTAGGCCCTATATCATTTCTGCTTTTGATAAATTGAATAATAAAAAATTACTGGTGCTCCCGGTAATTTTCAAATATTTCAAATATGGTAGCTGCTATTAAAGGCCATTCCATGGGAGCTGCGACCATGAAAATCCCCATACCAAAACTTTGTATTACCTTTAAATATTCACATTTAAACACAAACAATTCTCTTGCCATGAAAAAGAACACCCTTATGTTCACTTAACGTAAGTTTCATATCGCGACAGTTTCAGACTTGCATCAAAGAGAGTCTGCACCCACAGACTGAATTTCAATACAAATTTGTCCTTGATTAGGCCCAATAAAGACTATTAATTTGTCCTCGATTCTGACTTACCATACATTCAGACTACTAGTTTTCATTATATAGCTATACAATAAGTATATAATTTTTCTAATCTGAATGTCATATTATAACGAAAAATTGTATAGCAAAGCGTTTTGAAAAAAAACTTTAAGAATCAGTATCCTGCTTAAGTCTGAATGTCACTTTGCACCAAAATGCATAACTGGGAGGGGCTTAAATCGTAAGCGCGCATTAATGACTGGCTAGCATCGATTGACATCTTCAAAATTTGTTTCTTTATCAATGATGTTTTCTCGTCTGCATGCTCCTTTTGCTATACAATGATTCTTCATACAACGTTTCTTTACGGACAAGTATCGTATAGATTTCCCAGTCTGAACAGGCTCTAATAAAGACTATTTGTCCTTGATTCTGACTAATATGATCAATACTGACACCAGCCTACATAGCAAACAGGTACAGCGATGCACACATTCCTGATTAATAATACTACTGGTGGCCGTAGCTAAAAATGTGAGTTTATACGGTACACCGTTGATGAATATGAACCCGCAAAACAAAGCTTTGATACAAAACAACAACAAAAACACAAAAAAGGGAAAAACAACAACAATAAATCCCAAAGAATGATTCATACCAGTTTATGCTTGGTACTATTTATGGATATCGGATTTGGATAACAATTTTCATAAATCATTAACTTGCAAGAGCAGCTTAATTTTGGATACCGGTAATATCAAGACGTTGTTCATGATTGTGCAAGGTCCACAATATTCAGATAATTAAGGTAGCAATCATTAACTCATTGCCGTAGGGAACCATAAAATACATGTATTATAAAGCCAATTGGCGATACATGAACATGTAAGAGAATCTAGTAAAGTAGTAGTCAACAGGTTATCATTGAGAAATAATCATCGCATTGTAATTCTGACAAAGTGAAGACAGAACCATTTTTAAGTAGTGGGCTATTTTGGAAAATTTAATGACACCATTCTGGTGTTTACCAAATATTGTTGTCTATTACCAGGATGAGCCTTCAGTTCTACGACCAACAGGTCTTATAGTGTTTATTCCACTGAGGTATTTCTTGATGGGACCACAGGTTTCCTGTGTACAAGACTTACATGTACAGTACACCCAATTACCAAATAATTGTATTTCCACCAAGTCTGGTGTCAGCGGACCTACTGTACCTATGGAAACAGACTACTACATGTACATGTATCTCCCTTTAAGAAAAGCCTCTGAACTGTAAAAAAAATTCTAAGGGCCCTTAAAGAAAATAGTGCTCAATAAAACAGGATCTACTAGATCGTAAGTACGGTGTGTCTCTTTTACTAATACACTGTACTATAGGCTACCAGTATTAGAAGCTATCTGTTCATTAATTGTAAATCTATGTTTAGGTTATATCTCATTCAATAACTACAAATTTAAAACGATGCAAATTGGTAAAACTGACAAAGCATGGAAATTAGACCATTTACTGTATTAATAACTGTAACCCTATCTGTCTTCAGCTTGCATTCTATTTCAAATAGTTCAATGTAAATATGGAACTGGATGAAACATTAAAAGAAAAGAAGTTTAGTACCCTTATATGATTCTAATTCTACATGCACAATGTGTATAAAGAATACACTGTAAGTCTTCAGCTTGTATTCAGTTTAAGAAAAAAACACAGAAGGTCAGAAGCTGAAAAACTATCACATTACAAGATTGAAACTACCACATTATAAGATTGAAACTACCACATTATAAGATTGCAACAATTTTGTAACTTTAACTGACCATATAGACTTTCACTTTGTCATTACAACGAAAATATACTTTCCATCAGAATTGTCACTTCTGAACCAGAATCTTATTTTTCTTGATAAGATGTTTCTCATTAATGTTTGAAGGAGAGTCAAGAGACACATTTTATAATACTTCCTTATTCATATGGACCCTACACGTATACGATTGTTAACACTTTCTTTATGGCTTTAATTCTTCAAACCAAAATCATATTTCATCCATACAGGTAATTTGTTTGTACAGTTTGTACAGTTCGTACAATTTGCCAGATAAGATGGGAGCTAGTACACCATTAAGTTTCTGAGAAATTGTGCTTGAACTGTGATTGTTCAATGTTTACATGAACTATGCATATGATATTTTCCAATGCATCATAAAATTCTTTATCACATTAATGATGACAACAGTTTTTAATATCTAACCTGATGCATGCCTGCATGTTATCATACTGTCAATATTCAGTAATGGGTAAATCATCAAAGTTCAAGATTTGGATTGGAAAGGGTGTGCTTCTGGTCAAAGTCTGATAACCAGTATACTGCTTTTGAATGTTTGATGTTGTATGTTATGGTAGACTTGTTAAATATTATGCCATCTTTCATGATGTAAAATGTATTTCTTCCTAAATGTACATGGATCAATACTGTACATAAAAGTAGCGAGAACAAATCGATCTTGATTTAAATCTTTTAACAATTATTTAAATTCATCTCAATTTAAATCTCTGATTTTTATTACCAAACTTGCTATTCAATTGTTGAAATGAAATAAAACTCAAATTATTATTCCTCTTTTTCTTTTGAGTTTGAAATTGATGTCAAGACTTTGTTCATTCTTTTTTTAAAGCTTTACATAATCTCCTATATGAAACTGTTTGGGTTTATTTTTAGATTTTTAAATGTAAATATTACAGAAATTATTTCCTAATACTGTAAGTTCACCAGAAATGCTGTCAAAAAAATATTGTGTCACGATTAGTATTGCGACAAGCACCAACCTGATATTACGATACACGTGTCTCTTGCTCTCCTCTTCATCTCTTTGTATGCCGCATCCGCGATGGCGAATATATGAGGGGGGCGTTCGTAGATCTCACGCCCTCTGTAGTCGTTGACCTGTTCATCTCCATAAATGTTGACCATTCTGTATGGGTTGATGGATACCACTACTTCCCCGATGTAGGTGTAGATGCGCCCCTTTTGGAATCTGAAGTCAGGTGGGAGAGGGTGAAAAGGGAAAATGAAAGTGATGATTAAAAGCATGTCTAGATAGTGATGCTTTTTTCTCCATGGTTGGCTCATTTCATTTAATGGGTTGTATGTAGTACATGATGTCATGATCCTTTGACAATTTCCTTCACTGACCAAATTCCTAACATTTACCTTGGACACAACACAAAACCTATCCCTATCCCTAACCCTGAACCTAAACCTACATGTACGTAACCCTAAACGTATCCCTAACCCTAACCCTAAACTACACATAAAACTCAATTGCAACCCTAAACCTAACCCTATTTCTGGTAAATTCTGGTTCAGAACCTAAATTGAGAAAGAGAAGATAACGTTTGTTTGCATTTCCATATATCTACCCTGGTAATATAAATGCAATTTCTTTGAAAATTGGATAGCAGGAAGATCGTCTTATGTGTACTGGGCATATATGATAGAGACTCATACAGTGTATGCTCCCTATTTATTATCTCTCTCTCTATTTGTCATTTTGTCTCATTCCAGAACACAATTAAGTCAATTATCCAATGCCAATTCCATTATCTCTCGTTGATACTATTCTTCAACCAACTGTGAGAATGCTACATGGACAAAGCTCATTGGGACAAAGGAGAACGATATTGAATGATCGACAACCATCCATATACCAAAAACAATGCACTCATCCATCACATAATTTGATTAAATGCATCACACCGATAAAAACACACGGGATAGTAGTCTAATGAAATTTGTTTCCATATTGGATTTTGCCCAGCTAATAATTTGTGTTTCCCTGCCAAATAAAATTGACAGGACAGGCACCATTGCACTGATCACTACCAGTACCACCTACCAATGATGTACAATTTTGTTCCCTCGCTACCTTCCAACTATTTTTTGCTTGGTATCGATCAGAAAGACTGGATGGTACAACAGCCCCGGCTAGCTCATTAAAGAGTAATTAATGAATTCTGAATTGGGTTTGTTACCATGGTGATTTTATAAGTACGATTAAAATGATTTTATATATGGATGGTTGTGTCTATAGAGATGTTTGTTAATTAAGAAGTGAATGACCGGACATTGTGTATCTGTTTTCTAACATAGTTGGCTAAAATATCAAGTACTGCATGGTAGGCTAAAATATCAAGTAGGCTACAGTATATTTTCTTCCTACAAAATGAATTATACAGATGTAGATTGTACAAGTACCTCCTATAGATATACAACATGTACATGAGCTGAATTGGCAACTCCACACTTAAAGCAATACTGTCCTAATATTAGCTGGAGAACCATACATTCATGTATTGAGTACCTTTGTGTAACCCTACATGTTAACAAATATTTAAAGAGGATGTTCCATATATGATTTTTATCAGAAGAAATTAAAATCAAGCCAACATTTTTTATTACCCTTTTTCAAAGTTTCATATCTGAGTAAAAGTAGTTAAGCATGAAGGTACACTCAAAAAACTTAGCAAGCTCTTTCAAAACTAGTCTATTTTAGTAATGCCCATATATGTACATGTGTACTGCACTCATACCAATACCGATACACGATCACTAAAAATAGTTTTACACTGTAGTTTACTGAGAAGAAATACTTAAAACTACTCATTTGTTCTGCATATATTGTCTGATTTTGGCTTTTTGTTCAACCTTACGATTTACTCCAATGAGTGCAAGACGAAAAGCTTTTGTATGTCTGTATTCATAGCTATCTTGAGACTAAATTCTGTTACAATGTCTGGCCTAATATACCGGTATATTGTAAAATCAGGAATCAAAGCGAAATGAGCATGTAACTCTTGCGACTTGTAAATGATTGATTATCAAGATATTTTTGTGAATTGCAAAATTTCAGTGTTCTGTCAAATTTGATTCAGCAATTTTGCTAAGTGAACCTTTCAAGAATCTCAATTACTCCCAAATTTGTGATCATTTCTTGCATTTGGAACGTTTCTGGTTTTACAGAAGAGAAATATGCTGAACACTCGAACTGCAACTGTCATGTACAATTTGGGAATAATGAAAGATATATACCAGGGGGCTTTTCACAAAGCCTTTTTTTCAATGACAAGTTTTGTGAAACGCCCCCAGGTATATAGATTCAACATCCTCTTATCATTGATAGGGGGGGGGGGGGGTGTGCAGCATTTTTTGCTAAATGCAATTGATGCATCAAGTGCCCTCCAATTGATGTATAAAAAAGGCTTAACCTTTATTGGTTCAAGGGGAAAAAACATGTATCGGTACTATCAACACACTGGATTTGGCATGAATTTGACATAAAAGGCATACAAATAGGCATCGGGTTCAAAACAAGAAATATACTTTTATGACAGCTGAGCTAGGTTCTCATTGTTATGTCACAGCAGGTACAAGGGGAAGCCCCTTCCAGTTGAATGATTCCCAATGAGGTCCTTACACAGTAGTCTATTTCCCAGACCTTCATCATGTACTCAACGAGTTGAAGTCCACCCCAACATTACAACGACATTCACTCTCAACTAGTGACTGAAAAACTCTTTTGAGTGGATTCCTCTTTTTGAGTGTGGATTTCTAATCCACATGAAGTTATCCCTCAGATTTAAGTACTTAATGACACTACCCAAAGTGGATTCACTCCCGATTAGACTATTCTATTGTAAACACGTATGATCAAGGATGCTATTATTCAGGGTTCAGTGAGTTTCTATACATGTATTTGTAGGATACTGGAGAAGGAAATTCTTTTTCTCTCCTTTGTACACTGCCCCACTACTTTTTCAACATTTTGTGTAAACACGTAATTTGGCCTAGAATACAATACAAATACTTAAAAATGACAAACTTCTCTTTGCATGCTCCGCCCAGTCTGGAAACTTACAGTATTGCTCATATTCGACAATCAAAATATGCTTCTCCAAAATCTCTAACCTTGGATTTTCTTCAAAATGATGTAAGTGAACCACATAGTGAGGCAAAGTGGTCTTGTTAATAATCGATGGCTTCACAATGCCAAGATAATGAGTTTGATTCCCAGGTACTCCTTTTGAGGCAGGGTGATCTTGTGGAAAAGGGATCGCTTGACAATGCAGAGATAATGCATTAAATTCTTGTATACTCCCTGATAAAGGCTTTATCCTATTTAATTTCAAGGGAGATTTGAGTTGGTCTAGCGGTTCGTTCACTTGGTCAGTTCTCAATCTTCGCATATAAAATGGCTCAGAGGTACCCCAGTTCAAATCCAAGTCAAATCTTTTGGATGGTGACCTTAAAGATCGGTCCCCATATCTGTATAGTACACTCCTGTAAAAATACACATACACAGTTACACACACACACACACACACACACCACATTACATGTATTTCTTCATGGTTCCAGGAACACTTTGTATCAATTGATCAATAAAAGCTGCATACTACAAATGTACATGCACAATACAAATTCACTTTGTCATGAAGTCAATGAAACATATAAAGCTAATGATTAATTGTACGGGTTCAATTGTACATGTACAGTGTACTGTGTGATTAGTGGAGATCCATAAAAAGGGCACAAACAGCCTAGAAGGTTACAACAAGAAAAGAGAAGAAAAGGAAATAACAGCACTCTTGAGTTATGAATCGACGCTACCGTACTCAAATAAGAGATTTTTCACAAGGAAGTGAGTTTAAAAAGAAAGCAAGAGTAAAGTACTGTGGGAACTGTTTGTAAATAACCCGGCAATCAGAAGAAAACTGCAGAAAATACAGCTTAGAATTGTGAATACTGAAAACCAAGTGATTAGGAACATTAGGGGTGGACAGGAAAAAAATTTGGAAAGCATTTTTTTGACATCATTTTTTTTTGCGACCAGGAAACAGATGCCCCTTTTTATTTTTTTTCATTCATTTTGAAAGAAACAATGAAAAACATCTTTGTCATTCTTGGGAAAGAGTCAAAGAGAATTACAATGAATACAATTTTTCCACTATAGTTCCTATTTGCCGTTTAACGTTTCACACATTAACACGCTATCTCAATGTCTTCATTGAACTTCAGTTTACATGGATACCAGAGCTACCAAGTGTCACGCATTACATTGTATGCATGACGTCACGCATTCGAGGGTCTGAAAACGCTCTCAGCATGACGTGCGCATGTGCACGATTTCGAAACGTACGCCATACGCTCGCGTGCCGAGTCATAAAAATATCACGCATAGCTGATCTTTGAACTTGGCGTCTCTGTGATACGCAATGAAGCTCTTCTGTAGCTCCAAGGGAGACGCTAGAGGGGAGGGTGTATCTACAAACGTACTGTATGTGTTTGTGATATACCCCAATTAAAATTTTGGAACATTTACCAATCTCAAAATACTAATGACCATTTTTAACATACTTAATTGTTGGCATTTTTGTTGTTGTTGTTGCTTTGTTAAAGAATTTTCAGCTATAAACTTGCTAGCAAAGTTGGTCTGATATCACTATGAACATGACTGACAAAGAAAGCGGACAAAATATACAGTTCCTCAGGTAGACAAAGGAACATCCCTTCACTGCTATTATGTCAAAATGTGTAGAACAGGTGTCACATGCATATTCACCTTTTTACATAATAGCAGTGAAGGGATGTTCCTTTGTCTACCTGAGGAACTGTATATTTTGTCCGCTTTCTTTGTCTGTCATGTTCATAGTGTATTCCCTTTTCAAAATGTAGTCTTGCACCGCCCCTGTGCAGCTCCACACACGTCTTACCCAGGCCCATCAACATTAAAGGTAAAGACCAGTTATGGTCATGCGATTGGATTGTGAAAGAAACGTTGTGGAATCGATCAGAAAAGGTTGATCATCTAGCATCTAGCATCTGCAAGGTTCTGGAATCATCAAAATGATAAGAAATTTGGCCCATTCTTCGTAAAGTTACAAGCACTATACACACTTACACAGAAAGATGTATATGGGACTACCCTATATCTCTCACAGACCATGAGAGAAACAAATTTACCAAATATGTGAATTA